CCCGCTCCTGGCGTCACGTGTACGTCCTCAGCCCGCTCCTGGCGTCACCTGTACGTCCTCAGCCTGGTCCTGGCGTCACATGTACGTCCTAAGCCTGCTCCTGGCGTCACATGTACGCCCTCAGCCCGCTCCTGGCGTCACCTGTACGTCCTAAGCCTGGTCCTGGCGTCACATGTACGTCCTAAGCCCGGTCCTGGCGTCACCTGTACGCCCTCAGCCCGCTCCTGGCGTCACATGTACGTCCTCAGCCCGCTCCTGGCGTCACCTGTACGTCCTCAGCCCGGTCCTGGCGTCACCTGTACGTCCTAAGCGCCACGCTGGGCGACCAAACCAATACGTGTAAAGTGATGACCCATCCAAGATGTGACGAACGTGAGCGGTCAGCCCCTGCAGGAATGTCCGCAATGGTAGATCACAATTGTAGTTTTCTAGAACGAAGAGCCACCACTCGGCCCATGCTCTTGACGTTTTCGACATGGTTGCCCTGGCAACAAACACGGCAAATTGCGCTGTACGAAACGTCAGCTAACGGCAGCGTACGATGATGAAATCCGCAAGCATGGTTTCCGGGTCCCCTCCCTTTTCCCTGGCCACCTCACACCCCGAACGGGCCACGGGCTTTGACCACATCGGGCATGATGTGTTTGTGTGCGTGTTAAGCGCATGGAGGCGACATCGACTCGCTTTCCGAACGCCACCAATTTTGTCAAAACGCAGATTATATTGTTCCACAAGGCCTTGCACGAAAGCCTGGTTCGTATGCATCGCACAGCGAAAATTCCTCGTCTACATCCACTTCTATCCGACCCACTCCGTAGTATTTAACCGCGCAGACTCCGCAAGATTTTGCAAAACAGAGCCGTGCCGCCGACTTTTAAAGGCTCTTTAAAAGGCAACTGGGCAACATATTACGGCCCTCCAAGCGTTCAACCGATCACAAAAGGCCGTGTTTAGAGCCGAACCGAAGGCATTATATCACGACAAGTCAACGGCACCCATTTGGAACTGAACGAAGCCGGTTTGGGGCGAGCTTAAAACAAGAAAGCCGTTCAGCAGCATTAAATTGAACAGCTTGAAATAGTAGCAGCCGAACAAAGCCAACGTTGCAGTTTTGCTTTAACGCAGGAGGACAGACGGCCAAATATCGAAGCGCCCGACACCGGCCAGCATGCATATCTGACATACACGATTCCGGTTCCCTGGATCCAGCAGCCGGCACTGAATCGGTGCTAGCGGCTCCTGGGTGGTGCCTAGATCAAGTAATACTGGGACTTTGCCGGTACAAGGAATGCTGGTCTGCCCTCACCACACTGAAAACTGGTACTAGTGCCGGTACCAGGCGAGCCTTGCTGCGTGGAAGCAAGTACTGGTAGGGGAACGACTCGGGTTATTATAAAGTGTTGCATCTCTGATGAAGGATACCGGCTTTCCTAGTGGACCTCAACTAGCCTCCAATGCGCTAAGGCCAATCAACAATCCACTCAATCCACCATAATCTAACCCCAACAGCCGCGCTCGGCCACAAGCGGTGCCAAAAGTCAGCCGCCGCGCGTGTCCCAGCTGGCCCGCCCGCCCCATCCCGCCAGCTGGCCACATCACGCCATCAAACACCGCGAGAACCTGCCGCGTCCAGACATCCGGCGGCCTGCAGTGCGGCCGCGCCGGCCCGGGCGTGCCGGCACCAGCGCGGGGCTCGGCGGCCCAGGCGTGCCGGCTCCAGAGCGAGGCACGGCGGCCCAGGCGTGCCGGCACCAGCGCGGGGCACGGCGGCCCAGGCGTGCCGGCACCAGCGCGGGGCACGGCGGCCCAGGCGTGCCGGCTCCAGAGCGGGGCACGGCGGCCCAGGCGTGCCGGCACCAGCGCGGGGCACGGCGGCCCAGGCGTGCCGGCTCAAGTGTGGGGCTCGGCGGCCCAGGCGTACCGGCTCCAGAGCGGGGTACGGCGGCCCAGGCGTGCCGGCTCCAGAGCGGGGCTCGGCGCGGACCGGCACGACAGAACCGGAGAGGACCGCTGACCGGGCGAGATCGATCCAGCATGGATAGGACCGGATCAGGTGACTCCGCCGCCCGATATCCGAGGATCGGACGCTAATGGACGCGCCCCGAGAGCCGGCCGGCCGACGGTAACGACGGCGCGCTGCAAGTATCGTTTAGGTAATCACCGGCATCGCTGTAAAACGACTCTGTTCCGAGGCAGGTACGTCTCTGATATATGGCGACCGACCAACCGTGAGGCAAAATACCCGGAAAGCACGGCTCTCCGAACCTGAGACAGATGCAGGGAGTCTCCAATTCCCTCGCCAACGGAGAGCACGGATATTAACAGGAGTACGACCGATTTCATCCAATGCATATTTCCCAAAGAGTAGGACTCAGTGAACCAGATCTGGGTGCAGGGAGCCTCCGGTCCCATGCTGACGGACAGCGCGGACATCAACAGACGCGTGCACGCAGGCCCCAGCCGACACGCTCCGGAGCCAGCGGAACCACGCCCCTGGTGTCCTGGCGGCCGCACTGCCACCCACACTGCCGGGCGGTCTGCGGCACCACAGCCGGGCCAGTCAGGGCGTACGCACGTAACCACACGCCCTGTAACGTCACTATAACGCCTGCACGTGCGTCTGTACGTGCTGCACGCCAGTCTGTAACTGTACGTCTAACACGCATAGTCACAGGCAGAGTCCGTCAGCGCGCAGGATCGGACAGCAGTCCATTGCCGTGTCCATAACACATCGACCCTCCTGCACCGCGCGGTCCGCCACACCGCGGCCCCAGCTCAATACCCGCACATAAGCCATGCGGTCACGTGGAACTCCGCCGTCCACCCGGCAGAGTTAAGTCGCGCCGGCCCCGCCCCCTGATCCGTCCGGTCACGTGGTCTGGGGCCCCCACATGGCCGGGCTAAGCCAGCCGGGCCTGGCCGCCACTCGGCGCGGTCAGCGACGTGCGCCGCAGCAGCGGCCGGCCGCGGCCGGCCGGCAGGCGCGGCCCGACGCAACAGCGTCGGCCGACTTCCGGTCACACTCCCTGGCGGGGCGGCGGGGCGGGGGCGGCGCGCCTCCGCCCCGCCGCCGGCGGCTCGGCAGCGCCCGCCTGAGACCGGCACCGGCCGGCCAACAATCATCGGGGCAGCTGCGCCACGCCGCCGACAAGTCCACCACCGCCTCGCGCGCCCACACCCACACGCCGCGTCCAAGCGCCGTCTGCGTTCGTATATGCAACAGGCTATGGGATAGTAATTATGCTTTCACTATGAGCCATGTGTGAGTGATGCTCGCAGTGCATGCTCATCCATTCATTATTCCATCATCGTGATAGAATAAGACGTACGGGAAGCCTCGTGAATTATTGTAAAATTAGCATGCCTGCTCATTCATATTATTCGTGATAGAATAAGACGTAAGAGAAGCCTCGTGAATGATTGTAAAATTAGCAGCTGGGCTCAAGAAGCTTCTCCGACGAAATCCAGAGACTTTGCACATCATCTCGCTGGTGACTGCATCGCCTTCCCATGCAATATCGACATCGATGCAAGGTGGGTTCCTTTTAAACAGGAGATAATTATCCGGAAATCTCAGCATGAACACCACGTGTATCTGTTCAGCACCCGGGTGTTTACCGTCACTCTAATCGACATTGCAGAGGACAACTAATATTCAATGTTGGCGGCCAATGCTGGCATGTTTGTTCTAGAACCTCCACAGCAGAATTCAGCTGGTGGTCAATGATCAGTAAAATTGTCATCCCTGACAGAAGACACTGCGGATGATCTGAACTAAGCGTAGGACAAGGGCATGATAGAAGTTGTACTTGAAGTGGGCGGGAGATAACGTGGAGTAAAATTCTTCATCCTTAAAAACGGTCACAGTGCAGCGCTGCAAAAGTTTCAAGCATGACCGTACGACAGTGGGTCATCGGCAAATGCGAGAGCTCATATGACGCGGCCTTCCTTCCACAGAAACTGAGTGTGTGAAATGAGCATGTGGCAAATAAGTCTGCTGTAATACGAAACCCCCGCACCGCGTTAATGGATTTCCAACGTAACAGCAACATCGTTAGTGAGGTTCCATGTATATGTATGCATGCATATATATATATATATATATATATATATATATATATATATATATATATATACAGCATAGCTTAGCTGTCACTCGCCGCGTGGACTCTCCAAGCGCATGATCTCCACCACCGGGGAGGGTGCGTGGCCTGCCGTGACCTGTCGACATTCACTGCCCTCCAGCCATCCACACACTCAGGCGACAGCCCTCGCCAGCACACAGCTGCATGCAAGATGCCGTCGCGCAATCTGCGAGTCCGCCGAAAACGGGCCTCGATGGCACGAGGAGTTCGCACCAGGATCTCCCGCTCGCAAAACTGATCTGCTGGGACAGCTTAGTGGCGCCGGAACCGGGCGGCGTCCCTTCGGGCCACTGTCGGCCCAAACACGGCGAAACTCGGCCGAATTGCGGCTCAACTTGCTAGGCCGGCCACGTTTGCCGGCTCGGTCTCCGGGGAGGTCATTGCCGTCAGGGCACGACAGTCACACGCCGCTATCGTCCCAGCTAGAGCACCGATGCTGCCACGACTGATAGAAACGGAATGCTCCCTGGTCTATCGTCAGCAGACATGAGCAGGACCTGCAGCTGTCCGGCCCGAGAGAACGAGGCCCCGAGAGCTGCGACTATTAGGACTCGCTGACCTGTGAGAACAAAGGCTCCGAGAACCAGGACAGAGGCTTGATGACTTCCGCGAACACATATTACCGCCCAAAAGAACGAAGCATTTCTGCCACCAGAACAAAGGCTTCTGGGTACAGCAGCACATGTCACGCACGGGATCAAACCATACTTGATCTAATAGAATATTTCCTAACATGAGGCATGATGCTGAATTACGTCCCACCTTACAGAGTGCCAGAGTGTAGTGATATGCATATGCCCCATACTCCTCACACCCATATATGATCACTCATGCGTTGCGCATGCCCCTACTCACAATGTTCGGGTTCGCCCGTTTCAGCCTTCAGCAGCAGACGTCCCAGCTCGGTGATCGGTGCCAAGGCGCCCAGGTGCAGGATCCGGGCCGAATCGTCCGCGCCATCTGTGGGCTCGGCGGAGAGATCGAACTTCGGCGCCAGGCCGGCCACGGTCGGCAGGAAGAACGGCGCTGACTTCGGCACCTTGGGCGGCTCCTTCGGCTTGTTCCGTTTCTGCGGGGGGAACAAAGAGCGCCTTCGTAACACCATCCACAGAACCGTGTCCATGAGCAGCGCCTGAACGACCACAACCCTCCGCACAGTGGACCCGTGCCTTGGTAGATTAATGACCCCCCCCCCCCCCCCTCCCTCCCCCCTCACCTGAGCAGCTGTCCGCGTCGACAGACAGCCCCGAGGCGGACCCTCACGCCCATCCTTTCCCACGCGCCCTCACAGTCTCTCACCCTGATGGCGTCCACGCTGAGCAGGTGCGCCCAGCGCGACTCCGGCAGCAGTGAGAGCGTCACCAGCTGGTCAGCCAGCTGCGCCCCGCTCTGGAACTCCTCCTCGGCCTCCTCCGTCTTCTCCGGCTCCTGCTGCGCCTCCTCGGCCGTCAGCAGGAGGCCGTCGTCGGGGGCGCTGCCCGGCGCCGCCGCCACCGCCGGCAGGTAGTCGGCCGGCAGCGGCGGCAGGCTCACCCAGTCGAACAGCGTGCGGTTGGCCCAGAGGTACACGCCGGCGTCGTCCACGTGCGTGGTGGCGAGCAGCCGGCCGGCCGGGCCGAGGCTGAGCGAGGTGGGCGCCGTGGCGGTGCGCAGCACAGTCGACCAGCGCCGCCTGCGGCAGGTTCCACACGCGTACGCAGCAGTCCATGCCGGCGGTCAGCAGCCAGCGCGCGTCCGGCGAGAGGCACAGGTCGGTGAGCGGGCCGGCGTGGCCGGCGAAGCGGCGCACCACGCGCCGGCCGTCCGCGTCCACCACGCACGCCGAGAAGTCGTCCAGCGCCACAGCCGCCAGCGAGCTGGGGAGGACGCGAGGGGCGGTCACGCGGCCGACGCGTGGGGCTGGTCGGCAGACGGGCGGCGGGCTGATGACCGCGGCGTGGCGGGTCAGGACACTATTGGCACAAAACAAATCCTCAGATGTGCACGGAAGTTCATCGAAGCGAAGGCTCAGCGAAGGCGAGCCGGGACAATTTATTCATACAGCAGCCGGCGACTCGATGGGAACGCACATAACATCGCGCAACTGGAATGCACACGCCCAGCCTGGGCGCCACAAGCTGTGCACCGTTCGACTAAATGAAAGCAAAGATAACCAACACACCGAACGCAGGGCGTGCGACTCCGATCGGCCTCAATGAAACTCAGTTTAATGAACACAGCTCGACACGAAAAACTGCGATGCTCCGGGCCATTGCAGAGTTAACAAAGGGCGACATCCGCGGGACGAAGGCGTCGGACCAGCGCCGACGACGAGCGTCGTACCTCTCTCGGTGGAGGACGAGTCGAGCGGCGGGAGCGTCCAGCCCCAGCGTGTGCAGCAGCTGGCCCGTCTTGAGCCGCCAGAAGCGGAGTCGGGAGTCGGCGCCAGCCGACATCACCTGGTGTACCAGCGCAGTCGACGCCACGCCGCGCACGCTGCCCTCATGACCTGTGGTCAGCACGGGTCGGCAGGGGTCAGCAGGGGTCGGCACAGGCCAGCACGGATCGGCAGGGATCAGCAGGGGTCAGCAGGGGCCCGATGAGATCAGCGGTGGGTCATCTGTGGCCACCACACCACAATACACATGAGCTGTCATACAGACATCCATAGAAATATTTCGTGCCCTCTGAAATTCGCAGACGGCAGCATGCTACCAAGTGTGGCGCAGCAAAATATCCCAGGCCATCACTTTGCAATAAACAAGAACAACGGGACTGCTCAGGTGTATCAGGCACTGTGCAGGCGTCCCTACATGGTAAACGTACCTGGATCCCCGTAGGAGCCGCGAGGCAGGCCCGACTGTATGTTGTAGCGATCCACGTGACCCGTTTCGTAGCCAATCAGCACAAAGTTACCACAGGCCGTAACATCCACACACTGGGGGTAGGAAAAACAGCTACATCATTCCCACGAACGCGCGGTATGTGACAGATCCATCAGCTTAGATTGTATCTTGCCGATCTGATTTTAGGTACTACAACGAAACTCGTCGCTCAGACAGTACCAAAGATACACCATCAGACAGCACCTGCCTGGTGATCTATCTCGCCATCAGAGACACGTCACCAAGCAGCACAGTGCAGCCAATCAGAGCAACGGTGGACAAAGACAGCGTCACGGAGGGGCAACCAATCACAGGCGAGATGACTGGTGCAGCAACTACGGCGAAGTTTCTACACAAGGCGTGCGTCCAGCCGCCCCTCAATAAGCCACCGTCAATCCCCGGCAACTCCCCCGCCCCTCCCCCCCCCCCCCCCCCCCAACGCCATCAGTGCCGTACCGAGGCGGCGGCGCGCGCCGCCGGCCGCTCGGGTCGCGACGGCTGCAGCCGGTGATCGCCCATGCGTTGACGGTCGAACGACCACGTGGTGACCTGGCTGAGGCCGCGGTGCACGGCCGCGATGTTGTCCCACTCCTTCTCGCGTACGGTGGCTGCCGGTGAGGGGCGACGGGTCAGGGCGGGGCACACCCTTCCCCTCCCCCCTCTCCACAGCGCTGCAGCGTCGTGGCTTAAAGGCGACAGCGCGGCGAGTGAATTCACGGTAGGCGATGGAAGCCAATAGGAATTCAGCCGACAGTCCACCGGGCTAACGGTAATCGCAGACACACCAGCGCGGAGTCAGACGTACGTACACATCGACGTAACGGCGCTAATTCGGCGTGAGTAGTGAAACCAGCGCGGAATCGGACGTACGTATACATCGAAGTAACGGCGCTAATTCGGCGTGAGTAGTGAAACCTAGTGCATACTTTGCACTTCAAAAGCATAGGCTCCATGATACCCTTGCACAGCAATGCTGGAGTCTCACAAATATTGAATCTACCGTCTCATCCAGTGTGCGTGCATGGAAAAGACACCAGTCTGTTTGGATGGACTGTGACCGCACTCAAACGTGAAACAGCAACGCCTTTCAAGTGATGAAAACGACGACACAACGTAAGCTTTTCCACAACGTTGACTTAACTGGCCAACACTCACCTTATACCAGCTTCCCGCAAGTCCTAAACCAACCGCCATCCTCGGACTCATTTCGCCCCACCCCCCAAACCCCACCAGATGGGTGGGTTTCCCTCGATCTACTACCCCTCCCCCCCGTTGCCGCCCGTCTTACCCGACGCCAGCGCCACCACCGGAGGCATCTTGAGCGTGTCATGCACGCCCGCGCGCCGCTTTTTGGAAAGCTTGCGGTTGTAGCTGGCCTGGCCGAAGCTGCGGCTGACAGCGTCGTTCTCCGAGGAGAAGACGCGGATGGTGCTGTCCTGGCCGGCGCTCAGGATGTTTCCCCGCTCGTCGTAGAAGCGGATGAAGGAGGAGGGTGCCGAGTGGCCGCCACGCATACGCAGAAGACGACCGCCGCCGTCCGGCATGTCGAAGATCCAGACCTGCGACAGACCGACGTCAGACGAACTCTACAAGACGCGTGGACGGTTTCATTGGGGAGGGTGAGCTCGCAACAGGCAGCGGAAGATCAGAGACCAGAGAAGCCGCACACAAATGGATAGACGGCATGGACGAGCCATGTCCCGCTACACTGAGCGGCCCAAAGGGGCAAACGAACCCCAGCGAGAAGTGAGGTGAAAGTCGTCCTGTTCTCCTGATAAAGCCAGAGTTCACACCCAGTGCGATCAAAGTACAGACAAGGAGCCGACGACCGGGCCCGGACAGCAGTCTCGGTGACCGGCAGAGTAGCGCCGTTGGTCACTCGCCTTGAGCGTGTTATCGGCCGAAGAGGTGACCAGCAGCGGCTCGGAGGGCAGCGCGGCCATGCCGGTGACGGCGCCGTTGTGCGCCTCCCACATCTGACCCAGCAGCTTGCGCTCTTCCAGGTCCCAGAGCGCCACGTGACCTGACGCGCACGCCAACAGTGACGTCACGGATACGCGCACGCGAGAGGGCGGGTTCGGGTCCCCAGCTGGTCAGACATTGTAGCGATTTTGCGGACCATCCACTGCAGCTGGCTAGCACCAATACAGACCAAAGGTAACTGGTGTTTACAGTGACTTCAAAAACAGTTAAGTACCTACGACTTTGCGAAGTCTCATAACAACCCACTTGGAGAACCGTGAACACTGTAACCGACAATGCGGCAGTCTACGGCCACATCAATTGAACTGAAACTTAACGCGTCTCGCAAAAATGTTTTCCTTCGAAACTTAACGATGGCATACACAGAACAATGGTTATGGACCGGGCGTGATCGCACACGGCCCACACGTAGTGCTGTAGGATGTAATCCTGTAATCTCCCTGCATAATCCAGTGCGACCTCTACATGATACTGCACGGACCCCGCGTGACCCTGCACAGCCCCTGCCTGGTTACATGATCCCTGTGGTTTTAGACAGCCCCTCCGTGATTATGTACGGCTCCCCATGCTCCTGCACGGCCCCTTCGTGCTCCTGCACGGCCCCTACGTGATCCTTTGTGGACTCCACGTCACCCTGTACGAACTCTGTGACCACGCATGACCCTACGCGGCCGCTGCATCACCACCTAAGAACCCTGCGTGATCCTGCACGGCCCCTGTGTCACACCGTACAGAGCCGGCGTGACCTGACATCGGTTTGGAGCTTTAGGGCAAGTCGAGTGCAAACGGCCACGCAGCGGCCACGCGGCGTGAGCCCGCGCGTACCCTGCGTGCTGCCGGAGACCATGACGGGCTGGCCGTCGGTGCGGAACGCCAGCGACGTGACCGGCCCCCACTCCTGCTGGAAGCGCATCAGCGTCTCGTCGAAGCGCAGGTTGTGCAGGATGACGTCACCGCTGGCCAGGCCCACGGCCGCCACGTCCACCGCTGGCGCCTGGTGGTGCGGCCAGGGGCACACGGTCAGGGGTCACGCAGTCAGGGGTCACGCGCTCAGGGGTCACGCGGTCAGGGGTCAGGCGCTCAGGGGTCACGCGCTCAGGGGTCACGCGGTCAGGGGTCACGCGCTCAGAGGCCGGTTGACGGCCACACGGCCACAACGGATGGGGGACCGAGACAGTGCTCACAAAGCATAGGTCACAGGGTCAGAAAATTGGGCGCCACAGAGATGATCAGACAACCCATGTTTCCGACCCGATCTGTGAGTGACATAAAGAAGTGGAGAAGAAAACCGCTGAACTGCATATCATTAATCAAAATGTTCCACGTGGCCTGGCCATTCAACATTTTGACGAAGTAGGGTGAAGGCAAAACCCATGGTTAGAACGCCACTAGTCAAAGACATGCGCCATGCTGACCACCTGGGTCACAGAGTTCACTGCTGCGGTCGGGCCGCCACGCGCATCATGCCACCTGCCGCGATCCCCACCTGCTCCAGGGCGGTGACAGCTGCGCCCCAGCCGGCGAACGTGTGCACGCGCCGCGAGGTGCGAAGGTTCCAGAGCTGCAGCGCGCCCTGCTCGCTGCCCAGCAGCACCTTGTTCAGGTACGTGCTCGGGTGCAGCAGGCTGGTGATGCGGAACGAGCCGTTGCTGAAGGTCAGCTCCGTGTACAGTTCTGCCGTAGGGTGAAAGGGAGTTAAGAAGTTACAGCAAAATGAAAAAAAACAGAAGGCAGTCATGTTCGAAAGATACCACTATCTGAAAATGTCAGGATAGTCTCATGTGTATATAAACAACCAGCAGTTCCACAAAGTACTACCATGCAGGCCGATCTCTCTACAGCCAGTTCTCACCCTCAGCATTGATGTCCCACATGCGGAGTGTGCTGTCTGTGTCCACGGTGAGCAGGTGTGGTCCGAACGGCAGCATCAGGTGCACCGGCTGCTTGTGGTCAGCATATGTGTGCACCAGCTTGGGGGAGAAAACATGAATATCACTCAGAGGCCGGAATGCAGCCTGGAAATTGCTGAGGGGAGGGGCAAAAGTTTGCTGGAGGGACCACATGAACTGAGGAGGTCCATTCCTTGCTTAGGACACAAAATATAAATTTCTGCTTGATTTGGTGCACTTTTTTGCACAGACATCCCATTTCAGACTTACTAGTCTCATAGCCAATCCAGAGTGCTAAATGATTTTTTAAAAACCTAATAAAACTCCTATGTATGAATGTTTCACTTCAATTTCTGAAGAAAAATTTCTGCAAAACACAAATTTAGACAAAATCTGGGTACCTTAAGACAGCCCTTAGGCTCTCAACACTCCATAAGGAAGGGCAACTGTCCCCTGCACCCCACCCCCACCCCACCCCCTTTGCATCCTGGCTTCAGCCCCATCCAGTCTGCACATGATGGGTGCAACCTGTAACTGTAACTATAAACTGAAAATCAGTTCAACCTGTTCCAATTCCATGACCATCATCAAACAGGGGCAAAACAAGTGTGACAGGCCCTAGACATGAAAATAAATGAAAACAGCAGGCACATAGAGTAAATAGCTATGGAAAATCATACCAGCATGATGGTGATACATTATCACAGTTGCCACCCACTTTTTCCCAAAACATGAATGTTCAAGGACTATGACATATTAATATAAATTACATTTTCATACTGGCAACAAACTTAAAAATTTGATCAGGTTGTTTGCAATTTGCAAACTTATGACAAGCTGACCTGTACATACCTCTGTGCCTCTGCGCCAGCCTCGTACAGTACAGCCAACAGCTGTGTAGACCAGAGTCCTGTCTGCCGCCATTACTTCAATGTCCCCCTCATGAGGCTCACTCACACTTAGTAGTGAAAGCTTGTTGAACTGCAAAATAAAACTTGGCATGAAAAATGCATCAAACAACATTTATAACCAGGCATCACACTGTAAAGACATGACCACTGGTACCTAACAGCACTCATCTACTTTCACATTCTCAGCAGTACCAAAGAACTGGTGTTATTTGCTGTACTAGGACACATATAATGCAAAGTGGAATTCAAAGCCATTTCAACCTGACCCATGGATCTAAACAAAGCAACACAGCACAGTTACAGCAGTAAACATCCCACAAAGCATGTGCATTGGACATACATATCAAGGGAACATCACAGCAACAATACCACATGACACACTACATACCTGAACAATTGTTAAACTTCCCATTACACTTCTCATTGGTGACTTACCCCATATGTGTGGAATGACTTCCCAACGCATGTAATTATGAGGTTTTCTTTTCTCTTGTGGATATAGCGAACCAGCAATGGCACATGGTTGCTCACAAAGCCAAGGGCTCTGTACCCCTTGAAAATCTTGCTTGATGTTGGCATGGTGATGATAACTAAATGATAGCTTGGTAAATTGAGTTCCATAACACTTAACATAAATATTAACCTAAAATGACTTATGCGCCTCCACTCCACCCCTAAACGTCTCAGTTGAAAATGCTTGCCGCGCCATTCAACGATCTTACACACAAGTTCCACACATATTTCCACAGTCTTTCCCCTTAGTATATTGGTATAGATATCTGCAAACTCGAGCTCTGCTTTAATCACCAAAAACACCAGCTCTCCAACCGTAGACCCCAAGTCATACAATAGCGCCAAGCGATGCTCAGCACGCTACTACAACACGTGTTAGCGGCTTCCCATAGTTCGTCACAAATGCGCTATATATGAAGCAGTAGGTTTCCTGACCATTAGAAAAGTGCCACGATATTCTATTCGCATCACAAGTAGACATTAAGTGGGTTATTCTACGCCAACTCAATGAACGAGAGGCCACTTTTGACAACAACCATCTGAAATTTTGACAAATTTTGACTACAGGATTTTTCTAGCCCTGGATACGATTTTTAAAACCAGTGCGAGAGGAGCAAAGGTGTTAAAGTAAGACTTTTTATCGTGTTCGAAGCTTTGAAAAAAAATGTCGTTTTTAAATGATCGTATCTAGAAATTTGTTGATCACATACCTGGAATGCAACGATCAGACGATAGACTTTATGCACGGCTACATTAAAAGCATGAATATACTATAACCTTGATAGAAACACACTTATGAATACGTTGTTAGCATTTTCAAACTATGTTTGTAAATACATAAACATAACGACCCTCCATCAGTTGGGAACTATCCATGCTTTTACCTTGTAGCCCGAGAGAAAAACAGTGCATCTCCACACAAACTCATCTAGCGTACAATGAATCAGTGCTCCAGCATGTAGCGGTCGGCCGCCGCCTTCCCAAACGCCGCCGCAATGTTACATTGCCTTCCAATGGTGCCCCCATAATGACATTGTGCGCTCATGGTCGCACACCCTGCATTGCTTTGTGAAACCTGACCCCGCTTCCTTGGAAATCGCCGCTGCAGCCTTGCCATCCACTTTCAGTAAAATTGCTGCCGAGGTCAAGCCCGAGTAAAATGGATGCTGGCATCAGACAAGTGGGATGCACTGGGGGCTGACAGCTCTTTACGGGCGGCATCAGATGCACGAGAAGGCACTCTTTGCGCACTAACATAAATGTTTCTCCTGGTCCGCCGTATTCGGGCATCACTACACCGGCTGGATGGCCGCAGTAAGCCAACTTAAAGTGGTGATTTAAACAATAACGGTCATGTCAGCCGACGAGAAACTTACATTACCGCCGGTAGTGCTCTGATAACCATAACATGGGGACATGGTCGCACTTGCGACGCATGAATACCGGATATCAAAGGGGACGTTGCGTCTGTACGGAAAGCCGGTACTGCGACTGCAAGCATTGAGCTAGACGCTGTCGGATGGTCGAGCTGATAAATCGGACGAGTTTGGTATACTAGCGCTTGCTATAGGTGTAAGCAGTTGTCTTCCTGGCGCGCGACTTTAAGCACTTTTGCCGTGCCGTCGTATTCAGGTCTTCACGTTACGGGCAGGCCAGCCACCGTTAGCAAAGTGTCTTAAATTGGTGATTTGAGCAACAAAAGGTCAAATCGGCGCCAGTAAGCCTTCGCGCATTGAACATTTGCTCTCCCGAAAATACTTCTGCAATGATTTCGCGCGCCGATGGTCGCACCCGCCGCACTGGACTGAAAGCACTTGGAAGACATGCCGCAACTTTGCGCGCGATTATTAGCATTTCCCCTAAC